ATAGGTATATATTTACAAATCCAAGAAGCTCGACAACACTCGAAAAAGATAAACTCGAATAAAACATTCAGACAAATAATAAAACTGCTGAAAAACAAAGATAAAGAAAAAGAATAGGCCAGTCATAGTAGCTCATGTCTGTAATCCCAGAACTTTGGGAGGCTGAGGTGGATGACACACACACACACACAGAAGACTTGACAGCCTAGAATTTGATACATAATGGAAATATACTTTAGAAATGCAAAATACAGAGGAAAAAATAAAGACATTATCACAAGAAGGAAAATTAGAACAATTAATCACCAGCAGACATGCTCTAAAAAGAAATTCTGAAGGAATTTCCTCAAGCCAAAAGGAAATCATACCACAGAGAAATCAGGAACTTCAGAAATCAATAAAGATCCACTGAGTAAATATAATATACTATAATCTGCTCTAAAATTATTAAAATATTTATAACTTTGAAGCAAAATGTGTTAAGATTTCTGGAAAGGTTGATACATATATATATATATATATATATATACACACACACACGCACACACACACACACAATACACATGACAATTATAGTATAAAGCATTAAGGGTAAAGGAATCTATGTGGTTGAAAAATATCTATTTAATACATAAGGGGGTCAACTGTTAAGTCTATGTAAGCGGTGAAAAGTTAAAAATACATATTGTAATCTCTAGAAAAGTCATTTTTAAAATAAGTTGAAAAAATAGCCAAAACTGTAATGGAAAAATAAAAACGAAATACTAAAAAATATTCATATAATCCAAAACAGGCAGGAAATAGAGGAATAAGAAGTGAGAGGTTAAACAGAATGCAATGATGCAACTATAGAACTAAATCCAACCATATCAAAAATTATATCAAATATAAACACATCAGTTGAAAGAGAAATATTTTCTAAAAGAATTTGTTATCTACTCAAATGTATGATGTATATGCTATGTACAAGAAATCCATCTTAAATATAACGATATAGACTACTTTTGAAAAGTAAAGGGATAAAACACATAACATGCAAATAACAACAGAAAACTACAGTGGTTATGATAACATCACACAAAATAAACTCCAGACCAAAAAAAAATAACCAAGGATAAAGACATATTTACATAATGATAAAAATAAATTACCAAAAAGACAATAATGAAAAATGAATACCCATTAAAGGACCCTCAAAATACAGGAGGCAGAAACTGATGGAATTGAAAGGAGAAATGATGATTCACAATTATCCTTGAACACCTCCACTTGGTAATTGAGTGAAAAAAAAAAGAAAACCATCAAATGTATTTAAAAACCTCAAAGACTTTATTTTGAAAGTGGAGAACACAGTTGGAGAACTCATAAAACCTGATTTCAAGACTTACTAAAAAGCTGCAGTAATTAATACAGTCCAGTATTGATGAAATAGTAGCTGATAGATTGAAAGAAGAGGAGAGAATCCAGAAATGAAACAATAGAAATATATCCCACTCATGTTTTACAAAGAAAATCAATTTTAAAAAGCCTGAAAATCCTAAGCACTGGTATGGATGCAGAGCAAGTGGAGCATTTATTTACTGGTGCTATAAATGCAAAATCATACAGACTTCTTGGGAAACTGTCGGGCCCTAGAAAATTAAATATATACTTATAATATGACCCAACAAATCCAGTTCCAGGTATTTAATGAACAGAAATAAAAACTTTTTCACACAAAAGCCTACATCATCAGGCCTATAACACAGATTTGTGTTGAGCCACATTCAAAGTAGTCCTGGACTGCCGTGAGCCACAGGTTAAACAAGCTTGCTATATATGAATGTTTGAGCAGATTTATTCATATCCATACCAAAGTGGAAACAACTCAAATATCCTTCAACTGACTATTATGGACAAACTGTGATACATCGTATAATGGAACACTATAAAGCTTTAAAAATTATTTAAGGCTGGGCCCAGTGGCTCACGTCTATAATCCCAACACTTTGGGAGGCCAAGACAGGAGGATAGATTGAGCTCAGAAATTTGAGACCAGCTTGAGCAACATGTTGAAACCCTGTTTCTATCAAAAATAAAAAAATAAAAAAATAGCGTGCGTGTGCTGACGCACGCCTGTGGTCCCAGCTACGTGGGAGGCTGAGGCAGGAGGATCGCCTGAGCCTAGGAGGCAGAGGTTGCAGTGAGCTTACATCATGCTGCTGCACTCCAGCCTGGGTGACAGAGTGAGATCCAATCTCAAAAAAAAAAAGGTTTAAATTTTTCTCTCTCAACAATATAGATTACCTTCAAAAGCATACACTAAGTGAAGGAAGCCAGACTCAAAAGACCATATGCATTATGATTCCATTTATTTGATAAGGGCAAACTATAAGGAAAGACAAGGATCAGTGGATCTTTATCTAAGGATCACAAGGATCAAAGATCACAACAGACTAAGGGTGGAGAAATGTTTGCCACAAAGGAATAACATGGTTTTGAGGGACTGTGTTTCCATATCTTGATTGTGGTGGTGGTTATATGAATCTATACCTTTGTTAAAACTCAAAGAGCTAAACAAGCAAAAGAGCTAATTTTACTGAAAATTTAAAATTAAATTTTAAAATTGGCACAATAATTTAAAATTACAGAGCCTGAATCTAGACTATCTGGGTTTGATTCATAATTCTTCATTTTATCAACTATAGGCATAACTTTGGTTTGTTTACTTACTCCCTATAACTCATTTTCCTCATCTATAAAATAACTATAATGACTCCTTCAAGGTGTAGTTGCCAAGGTTAAATAATACTTATAAGGAAATTAAAATACAGTAAGCGCATCATTAAGTATTCAATAAATTTTAGCTATATTATTATCAATACATATTGAAAACAGTCTTGGATAGAAAATATTCTTGGATAAAATATTCATTCCTAGTTGATGATAATTGCATTGAAAGATCCTTTCAATTTAGCAAATGTGTCATTTTAAAATTAACTTCTACAGCTAATTTTATTTTCATTTAATTTTATTAAATTAAGTTTAATTTAATGCTTGTTTCCTCATCTCTCACAGTTTCTCTCATGAAATAGATGCTGACTACCTCTCTATTAAATAATAATCAGCAACATTCTAGGCATTATTAAGTGACGTTATGGGATATATGCCCTCCTGGTCTCATAGTAACTCTGTAGTTTGTTGATTAGCTTTCTCATTTTGCAGTTGAAAAAAAGGAGCCACTAAAGATTTAGATAAACTCTCTAAGATCTTATTGTCTTTAAAGCTCACGTTTGTCTCCTACTTTATACTATATAATTTGAACATGTAACTGCAGAGTATTAATTTTTCTCTATACCATTTTAATCAAGAACCATAATATTGGCTTCCCTGATATATATTTAAAAATTAGCCTCTCTCCAAGAATCACTTGAGTAATTGTAATTTAGTCTTAGTCATGACAATAACAAAACATTTATCCCTTGAGGAATTGGAAGTTGATCGATCACTAGCATAATCATCAAAATAATTCTTTCTCAATATTTTCTTTCTAATTGTGTATATATATATATAATACATGTGTATATAAACCAATGCATAATGTCAATTCTATTTTAGATATACAATGTCATAATGCTATTTTGCATTTGAGAAAGTAAAAGTCAAATTCTTACAGTTGCAGAATGTGCTTACATTGAGGAAATAAACATTAGTCCCTCTGAAATATAAAAATATATGAGCTATTCAGGGAACATAACAGCAGTCACTGTAGGGCTGGCCCTTGTTCATAAACCTTTTCCTCTGTTGTCCAGTGAATATGACAAAACAATAGCAATTAATATAAAAAATGAGAGGCTGAGGTCATTCAGCAAACTTTGGACTTTGAGCAGAGCTGCCTCAGGTATCTAGTTTAAGAAATCTGTTATCTTTTCTGGGTATCAGAGCAGGCAGCCTCTTCCTCACATCCCATGCATTGCTTTCTTTTCTCTGATCATTTATTGTCTGTTGCTGCTTTCTCCCTAAAGCTTCCTGTTATCACTATTATCTATAAGGCTTCCAGATACCAGCACATTTTGAGTGAAGGAGCATGGTACTTTCAGCATGGTAGATTTGAGTTCAAATTCTGATGTGGTCATAAAAATAGTCTAAAATCTAGCAATTTAAGATTGAGGTAGATAAAAGCAGCAGATCTCAAAGTGTGATCTTGCAATGCTTATGGGTCTCCGAGACAGATTCAGGGAGTGTGCATAATATTATGACTCTTTCTGACTTTCTACAAAAATCTAATTCACCCATGAGTATACAATTGAGTTTCCAGAAGCTACATGATATGTGATATCACAACAGACTAAATATGAGAATCCGGCTATCTTCGATAAGAGACATTAAAAAGTGTAATAATGGAAAATAGTGCCACTACCATAGCTAATTTTTTTCTATTTTAAAAATATATTTTCCTTTGATATAAATATATCATTTATGTTAATTTGTAATGGAATTATCATCATCAGTTAATACTGATAAATATTACCTATATAATAAAGTTACTGGGATTCTCAACTCAGAGTGTAAAGAGTTCTTGAGATCAAAATGTTTGAAAAACCACTTGAAAGAGAAAAACATTAAAACAGTAGAGATACTAAATATACATCAAAATGTAAAACATAATAATTATATACCTATAACTTTAAAAAAATGTATGAGACTGGGTTTCTTCAGAAATGCCAAATATAATCAAGTGATTTAATAATCCCCATATCTCCTTCAGACAATACCATTTCATTCTTATCACAATATATAATCTTTATCTTTAGAGATATAACCTTAGCAAGAATTTTCCCTCCTACTTTGTACAGATTTAAGTAAGCATGTTAATGATTAATTAAATTAAACATATTAATATTATTTGGCTGATTTATTCTAAAAGAAAAACCAGAGTCTTTCTCAAAATACTAACTGAAAGAAAATTTACACATACTTGTAAAAAGACGTCCCCATTCCCTAAAGAAAAAAAAAATTACCGTAAGTGAAGTCATTTTTAGCAGAGTATTCATGAACCCTATTTTCCAGGTTTCTTCAATGTTTTCTGGGATGGGGATATAAATATAATAAGCAAAGAGAATACATGATAGTCCAAAGCACAGAGTTCTGCACCCCATGATATTCTTTTTCTAATCCCTGTATAGTAATGATTTAATGTCACCCCATATATATCAAGTGTAAAAGACTAGGTCAAAGGCAGAAGGTAAACTCTGCAGAGGTGTAATAACTTTAGCAACAATTTAATATTCAGTTCCAAGATTAACAGTGATAATAGTAACTAGTTCAACAATTATACACTACTTCTGAAACTGAATTTACAATGTATCCTATCAAATATGCATTAGTAACAAACAGCTAAAAATACTGGGAGAAGGTATTTTCTTACCCTGTGACACCATCATCATCCCAGCACAATACACTTTATTAGGATTCTCAGAAGAACCATGAAATCAAAGTTCCCAATGGCTATCTTGCAAAGATTACTGAGACGAGGTTAAAAAAACAAACAAAATAAAACCTGTCACGTAACATTTAGTCAATATCAAGGGTAATCTCTTTAACATAGATTATGAACAAAATTAAAATCTCCTGTGATCATTAACTTTAGACAAAAAAAAAAAAGAGGAAACTGGGTATTCCTGTCCAAGTTACAGAATTAATTCATTCAACTCAAGAAATATTTATGAAGTGTTTGTCTTATATTAAATATGAAATTTTCAATATGTAGAGTTACATAATCACAGAAAAAGTATGGATTTCTTAAGCAATTATTTATTGGATGCTTAGCACATACTAAATTCAGTACTATGCCATAGTGTTAAAAAATTGAGTAAAACCTGGCATTTATCCATTCTTTTGTGGAGCTTTCTCCAACTGTTTAACTTTCATTTTCCTAAGGCTATATTTGGAAATGTTATCATTGAATAGTTTATTCAATAGGGGGCCCTACCAGGTTTCTCCACTAATTTTTCAGCAGCAGCTGTTACTGTGACTCTAATTGCTCCCTGTTATTCTATTTCATAATTTCTTACTGGAGCCTGGCTTTATTATCTATCTGAACACCTGATTGAGGGGAGGAAAGACTACTCTTCAAACTTGAGAAATAAGAACTGCAAGAATGGAAGAGGATAAGGAGCCCAAAATGAGGTAAATATGAACAATCCAACATGTACATAATGGAAAAGTCAACCTAATTTTGAAATATTTACTTAATTTTGCATGCTCTTTTTTCTCTACCTCCTCCGAGTTACACAAAACTTACATGACACCTCTCCTTGGCCCTGCTTCTCACCCCACCCACACAGCTGGGCTCATCTTTCCTCAATTTCTCAAGGATGTAATGTACCATCAGAAATTAGAAAAATTAAAAATTATTTTTACCTTCTGCATTTTGAAATATAAGTATTTATGTTAATGATAAAACTCTCTCACAAAAAAACCATGAAATCATGTGATGAAATCATTCTGTTTCAAAAGCAGAAATATTTGTCCTTCATTGACAGTTATTTCCCATGTAGCTTTGACACAAGTTGAAAAGCAGAGAATGATTTCCCCATGTTTTCAGTGTTTGTTTATATACCAGATTTCTGCTAGAGGAAGGAGTCTTCCAAGTAGAGGAGACAGAGTTCCATCTAAAAACTTTAGAAACCTAGTCAGTCATAGTGGCTCATGCCTGTAATTCTAGCACTTTGGGAGGTCAAGGTAAGAGGCTCACATGAGGCTAGAAGTTTGAGACCAGCCTTAATGTTTTGATTATATTTTGTATTTAATTTTTGCAATTATCTCTAATACTTTAAAGAGGTTCATTATATCATTATAATACTCTGAATTCTAACAGGAGGTCCAAATGCTAAAAATTAACTCTCACTGAATACTCATATAGCTATGAATACATTATTACCCAAGATATAAGGTAAAAAAAAAATAGTAGGTCAGTAAATATATTTCTTAGTTTCAAAAACTCATTTTCTACAGTTGGAATCAACCAATGTCTGTGAAACTAAATTAACTCCAGGTAATCAACTCTGGGGGAAGCATCTGTCTCTGACTGCAGTGGGAACAAGTCCCACATGAAGACTTGATGTCTTTCAAGTCAACATCAGAATGCATATTCATTTTTAAGTTGTATGTTTAACCCAGGTGAATAAAGTCAACATGCGATACTCTCAAAAACCAAGATTGGTTTCTCCCACACTTAGTTCTGAGTCTTTCTGAACTCAGGGCAGTTCCACAGAGATGATTTGTAATTGACTCCAGACACTCAGCAACATAATATTATGGACCACAAGGAAAGAGCTGGACCCCTTTTGCTAAGCACTATTGGTTCTTCAAACTTTTAACTATGATTTCCTCACAAAGTTAAACTGTGTCTTTGTTATACAAATGAACTAATTAACTCCTTGTGAAGTTTCAAAGACCTGAATATGGAAACAGATTTTTATTTTTGGTACATTGTAAAATTAAAATTATTAACCTGATCAACCACCATTCCTCTGCATAACCTATGTGATGGTTATTATTCTTTTCTTTAAAAGCTTTTCTTACTCAAGTCCTAACACTTGTCCTTGGGAACTTCTTCTAGGGCTAGAAATCTTTTTTTCTGCTTTTTTTCTTTTTTTAAAAAATTATGCTTTAAGTTCTGGGATACATGTGCAGAACGTGCAGGCTTCTTATATAGGTATACACGTGCCATGGTGGTTTGCTGCAGCCATCAACCTGTCATCTGTATTAGGTATTTCTCCTAACGCTATCCCTCCCCTAGTCCCCTACCTATGAACAGGCCGTGCTGTGTGATGTTCCCCTCCTTGTGTCCATGTGTTCTCATTGTTCAACTTCCATTTATGAGTGAGAACATTAGGTGTTTGGTTTCCGAAGAAAAAACAAAAGAAGCAAAAAATGAGAATTGCTATTTACATCATAAATAATTATCCATATAATACATATTTAGCTACCAAAAATCAATAATAAAAAGAAAAAAATTCATTTTTTAAAATTATACAAGGTTTGGGAAGATCAAAAAATGAGAAATATAAGAAATCCAACCGGGTTTATATTATATGAAGCATTCCCACACTAAATTATAAGTGAAACGTATATTAAGTTTACAGTAAAAACCATGTATCAATTGTCGTGTTGACAAAACAAAACTTTCGGTAACATAATTCATAGTAACAATAAAAATGAGACAGTCATACATTGTTGTCAAGAGTTTCACTTGACAGAGGCAATATAATTTATCATTTAAACAAGAACACTTCAGAGAGTGAAAGAGGTGCTATTAATAACACCATTCATAATCTCCGGTTCTGGCTGACATTCCTGCAGCTTATGAAGTGACAACACTTCAATTATGTTTTATTTGTGTGTCTGTCTTTCCAAATGTTCAGTAAACTCATTGATGGAAGGCACTATAAGATTTTTACCTTGTAACTCCTAAATGTGTAGTACTTTGCATATATTGTATGTGCTTAATAAATGTTTTAATAAATTAAAGAATGGCTCACTTAATTCATACATTAGTGCCTAAAGGCTCTAAGGAATGGAAAATATCAAATCCATCAAATGTAATAGCGACTGAAATTCTGAGAGAGGTCAGTAATAAGAAAGGCCAAGAGGTGCCATAAAGTTTACAATAAACAACATGTCCTGTCTTCAAACTACAAATATAAAGAAGAGGAAAAGAGAGGAATTTTATGAAGTTAAACTATAGGGTAGTTATGTAGAGATGAAGAGGCCAATTAATATAATCAAAGAAGTTAAGTGTAGGTGTCTGGAAACTTTTCAAAACTTGGACATCAAATGATTGAGGTTTATTATCTCAAATGCAGAAATATCCACTGTGGTAGGCAGAATAATGGTCCCACAAAGCACAAAGATGTCCACATCCAAATTTTTCAAACCTGTGAATATTCTCTATTACATGATAAAAGGAAATTAAGGATGCAGATGAAATTAAGGTTGCTAGTCAGCTCATTTAAAACAAGGAAATTAGGACCAAATATCTAGGTGGTTTCAATATAATCACAAAGAGATGAATGAGAGAGACAAGAATAATTGTCAGAGTGATGCAATATGAGAAAGTCGACTAGCCAGTTAGCTTTGAAGATGAAGGGCGGTTAGAAGGCAAGGAATGCCGGCAACCTCTAGAATCTGGAAAAGGAATAAAACAAATTCTCGCTTAGAGTCTCCAAGAAAACAGAACTCTGCTGGCACTTGGGGACCCATTTTTGACTTCTGGTCTATACAACTGTAAGACAATACATTTTTGTTTTTTTAAAGCCACTAAGTTTGTGGCAATTTGTTACACAGTGATAGGAAACTAATATACCCATAAGCGGTTTAACAGGCATCATCACTATAATACATTCTCATTTCTTTCCCAAGAAAGTTAGAGAAAATCCTAATACCTTTTTATTTAGAAAGGTAAAATATATGTGACATGATAACTAAATTAAGCTAATCAGATCACAGGTGTTTGCCTGGCACACAGTAAGCACTCAGAGTGTTTATTGTCACTATTATGTACATTGTCATTCATATATACACATACACATATATATGTATATATCTCATACATATGATTATATTTTACATTTAATTTTTGCAATTAACTCAGATACTTTAAAGAGATTCATTATATTATCATAAAACTGAATTCTAACAGGAGGTCCAAATGTTAAAAATTAAGTCTCACTGAATACTCATACAACTATGAATACATTATTACCCAAGAAGGTATAAGGTAAAACAAAGTAGGTCAGTAAATATATTTCTTAGTTTCAAAAACTCATTTTCTACAATTCTACATATATAAATATATATGAGATAGGGTCTTACTCTGTTGCCCAGGTAGGAGTGCAGTCACATGATCATAGCTCATTGTAGCCTTGACTTCCTGGACTCAGTTAATCTGCTCACTCCAGCCTCCCGACTAGCTGGGACCACAGGCACATGCCGCCATGCCTGGCTATTATCATTTTTATAGACGACAACAAGAAATAAGGTAATTTGGGAGCATGAGTCTTTTCATAAGACACAGCTCTTTGTTGATGATCATTGGGAAACTATATCTCCAGAGGGCAGTCAAGGATCACAAGCACCTGGAGAGCTAGCTGCAGATCA